CAGTGACATATATTGTGAACACACAGTCATGTCGATGTATATGACAACATGAAATAGAAGAAATTAGTGTTGAATGCAAGAGAACGTTCTTAGTTAGTGGTAGTTATGGTATGAAACATGACATAAGAATGTGATTAATCACAGTGAATCCCGACTTCCCTATCTGAAATATTAATAGTTTATATAATAAAAGATTGATATTTGGCATTTGTGTATCGATACGATATTAGTACGCAAAATATTGCGATACCATACTGTATCCATTTCCCCCACCTACCTTTAATGTGTAGTAAATGTAACGTTTGGGCTTCACATTACAAGCTGTCCACTGCTGTGCCAACAGGAGAGTTTTGTTTTAAAGCAGCTTCAGTGAATGAATCTAATCGTCACTGAGATGAGTGGAGCTTTATTAGAGGTCCTATTCCTCACCTAATCTTGGTCTGCACGACAGAGCACGCACTTGTTTGGTGCTATTTGGTCTGCGGACCAGTTTTATTTATCTTAGCCATCAGTTGTATCTGATGTGATATACTTTAAGGCAGTGCGTCAATACTAATCAATGACTGCAGTAATCAGTGAAATGTGCTGAGCACTGGACATGCTGCCTGCTATCTCTGTCTGTGTGTTGGCAGTAATGAGTGTTTCCATCTGTTGCAGTGACGAGTCAGATGTGGTGGAGTCTCTAGATGCCATCTATTCTACAGGGACCTTTGTCCAAATTCATGAGATGCAGGACCTGGGAGACAAGCTGAGGATGATCGTCATGGGACACCGCAGGTTAGAGACACTGCTGCTGCTTTAGGTTAAAAGGCATAGTGGTTGGTTGTAATGAAAACGTGTAGACTTTGCTCCCCTTGGCACACTGTTGCATGTTCATTGTGTAGACCTCCACTATATGTATATACAATACTGCTCCACTCTGGTCTGTCAGGATCCGGATAACAAAACAGCTGGAGATGGAGCCTGAGGAGGCAGCGACGTCCCCTGTGTGGTCAGAGTCTGAGTCAGAGTCCCAACCTAAACCTCCATTGAGACGCAAAGCCAAACGCAGCCGCAAGGACCAACCAGGTTCTCTGACGGAGCAAGCTGAGGACAAGGTCTGTAACATGACCCTCACATGCCACATCTGTAGCCTTCTACACATGCTGTCAGTATGTGGCTCTCAAGCAGTACTCAGACAAACATTCAAGCAGTTCATGCGACCAGTCAACACTTTTGCCATCTTTTGGACCGTTCATCAAGTTTGATGAACCGTGAGGCTGTGACTGTATTTCTTCAGGGTTGGTAGTGAGTCAGCACACATTGATCTGGGCTTTATGTATATTAAGTCAATGAACATTGGGCCACTAAGTGAATGACCAAATCAAAGGCAGAACTCAGGTTGGGAATAAGATAAAGTGGGCAACTGCCCTTGGCCTCTGATCCCCAGTGGCCCACGTTCACCAGGTTCACTAATGTCACCTGTGAACCTGGTCCCAGGTCCTGCATTGCTTGCTGATTTTGTGGCCCTGTCTTATAGAAGGGCCCTATGCTCACATGGTGGATATTTCTAAATAAAGTTGTGTGTAATCAAACTATCTCAAACTAATAGACTCGCAGAAAACCTGGAGCCACTTTGAGTGTGTTTGAGGGTCTCAGAGTTGTGTCTCTGTCTGCACTGGGGTGGTCAGGTTGAGAGTCAGTACCTCAGAGTCTGAGGCCATGGTTCTCTGCTGCACCCTCCAGACTGGAAGTGAGTCACTGCCCCAAGCAAGGGAGTTCAAGTATCTTTGGGTCTTGTTCCCAAAAAGGGTCAAATGTAGCGTGAGATGGACAAGCAGATCTGTGCGCCATCAGCAGTGCTGCAGACGTTGTACCAGACCATGATGGTGGAGAGAGAGCTGAGCCTGAAGGTAATGCTCTCTACTTACCTGTTTGCATTCCAACCCTCTCCTCTGGTCATGGGCTTTAGGTAGTGACCAGAAGAACGACATTGCAGAAGCAAGCAGCCAAAATGAGCTGTCTTCATAGGGTGGCTGGGCTCAGAGCTCCTGAGGGAGCGAGGAGTAGAGCCGCTGCTCCTTTGCTGAGGTGGTCCAGGAATCTAATCCTGATGCCTCCTGGACGCCTCCCTTCAGAGGTTTTCCGGGCACGTCCAACTGAGCGCTGTGTCGCTGTATATGAGGGAGAGGAGGAGGTCTAATGCACACAATGTTTCTGTAAGTTATTAATAATAATTCAAATGCCAAAGTTCTGAATGAAGCTTGGAACTATTCGGTAGCCTACATCTGCGGTTGTCTTCTGCTTGTTGTTTAGTGATGAAGGTAGAAACAGAGAGAGGATGCTGAAGAACCTCAGCAGAGACACCGGTACTAAGGTCCCAAACCACTGACCTCTAGTCGTCCAACCCATCACACCTGCCTCCAATATAAACATGAAAAATACAAATATGAGACAACCAACAGGACAAAAGAAGAGCAAAACGGATTCATTGACATTATAATTTACCTCAACCCAATAATGTGTTTTACTGAATAGAGCATGAACGCATCATAATGCACCTCAATGTCCTGTTGCAGATTGGGCTTCTTTTAGTGAAGTTGGGCTGGTGGATGAAATGTGTGAGGATTTTGTGATGAACATTTGACGGGTTTCTGAAAATATTGTGAAAACAATATTCCCAAACAAGCTCTCAATGTATGGTCAAGAACTTATGTCCACTCACTCATGTTATTGACTTATTTCATTTGAGAGGTATTGGATGGACATGAGTTGTATTGAACGGTTAGGGATAACAGAGGATATCCTTACTTGAGGTTATCATTCTTTACATTGACGAGGGGATTGTCTTGTTTTCTAACTCCACTCTCTGTGGGTTGTGATAGCCTGTTCATCTAATATTTTATCTTTGTTATTTGATTGAAAAATTAAGCTTTGTTTGCTCATGAAGTGTTTTCTAATGTGCCCCTAATGGTGTTAATGTTTTACATGTTTGTTATGATGTGGGCTGGTTTTATTGACTTGTGTATGTTTTTAGTGACCGGGCAGCACTGCGTACATTAGCTGTTAGCTCCGATGCTGCCAGCGTTACTCGCTCTCCTGCTGATTTCAACACAGATTTGTTGTTCATAATGTAGCGTTATCAGGGATTGGTGAAGCATTATTGCCTATCTCCCATTCAAATATTTTTACTGGATATCGGCCGACAACGATCGGCAGTGAAACTTTATTTCACACATGATAGTCAAACTGTGTAATTACTGTGCCCACATACGTGCTTAACGGTGTTTTTTAAATGCAGATTGATGTGTGTATGTGTGTATATGTATGTGTGTATATGTGTATATATATATATATGTGTGTGTATATATATGTGTATATGTATATGTGTATATATATAT